TTCTCTTTCTCTTTCTCTCTCTTCTCTCTCCCCTTTTCCTCTCTATTTTGAGGTTTGTCATTATAACTGACACTGGTTGAATTTCCTATTAAAAATATAACAAAGTAAATTGAGGAATCATTATATTTTATTTCACTCAAACCTCCCACACAACAAGTAGCTTGATTTGACAGCATGGTAGTGATATGGACTAGAGTTCTTATCTAACAAGGGGATTTATAGCATGAAGAAGAAACTAAGAAATGAGCCAATAGGGTCCTGTGTGTAATTCCATTTGGAGGGCGAGCATTCCATAGGATCCATGAACCATTATTCCAAATGTTTGGGTAAACACGTCTTAATTCGTCTTCACCTTTCCCAAGTATATTTACACTCAGCTCCAAAGTGTAGCTTTGCTTTGTTTTATGAATGGATACCAACTGAACTAGCTTAGCTTTTCAAATAAAATAATAAAACAAAATCACTTGAAATACTATGTTTCCTGTTAATCATAAAATGTTTTAGATTTCTGTAACCATCATTATGTAGACAAGAGAATATTCTCATCTCTTACGTTTGAAACTATAGTTTCATATCTAATCCACTTAAACAAATTAGAAACATAATTAAAGTTCTGCAACATCATACAACTTTTTGGGTCAGTCCTGGTCTCACTAAATATTGCAAATAAAACCGTAGCTTTATTTTTTTGTGCAAAGTTTTGTTCTAAAAAGACTGAAATGTTTATCTACATTAAATATGTGAGAATTAGCCCACCATGGAAGAACAGGAACTTAGAAAAGACTGCTTGGGTTTGAATTCTAACTCTGTGAATTGATTGCATTTTGAGAGAGATGCAGTGTCCTTCTGTGACAGGGATGCAGTGTCCTTGTGTGACACATGTAGAGAGGATGCAGTGTCCTTCTGTGACAGTTTTCTCGTCTGTAAAGTGAGACCTAGTATTTCACAGCAATTGCTCTCATAGGTGATGTGATTTCTGCTGGCAATAAGGCATATTCAACAGCAAACAGTGGAAACTGTACCTCTTTGGCACAAGCAAACAGAAAGAAGTCCTTATAACATCTTTGGTCCAATCCAGAAACCAAGACATTAATTTTATCTATAGGAATCCAGCTGATCTTTCTTCTTTATTAATACAACTGAAGACAATGTTTAAGACATGTAAAGATGGTAAAAAAGCTAACTTACAATGCATGTGTTCTGAACTAGCTGTCTTCTGTTTTGGCCTTCACCCTTATGATCCAGAGTTTATGTCATGTTTAGCTATTGACCCATTTGACTATGTTTTTATGACTTTTCTAATTTAGTCTAGACTTGTATCGTCCATTTTCTCCTTTCGGTTCTTTCTGCTATTCACTTTAATCCTTCTTGTCTCAAACTCAGGGGGGAAAAAAGAGAGAAGTGTTTCTGTGAATCAAGTTTTTGACATGTATTTCGTGGAGTGGGGCAGCATGTACAGAGGTTCCAGGGCAGCTTGTGGAAATCCACTCTCTTCCTTCACCATGCAGGCTCTGGAGATGGAACTGTGGTTAGCAAGCTTGGAGGCGAATGCCTTTACCTGCTGAATGATCTCACTGCCCCTCAAGAAGTATTTTGAGAACGATATGCAATCCCACTTCACATGGCTGCTTGTATCCAGCTGTCTTTGCCACAGCATAAGAAACATACCACGTCATGGGAGTAGCTGGTGTTTCTGCCTCGTCAGGTCTCAGTGGCAACAGTGTCAGCTGACTCCACACCAGAACCACTGCTGCAAGCCCAGGCCTGAGCACTTTTATAGGAAGACATGCTCTTTTAAAGATGCTGGTCTGGTCTTCCTGTGTGAAATCGCGTGTTAGCAGAAGAGAAAGCCATATGTTTTTGCACCTGAACCTGTGACCTGGACACAGGTTTCAACACCTGTTAAATACCCCAGAGCAATCCTAGCGCTTAGAGTTACTCTTCAATGTTCCTTTGAAAATGGACATTAAAGAGGAGAAAAAGGGAGCACTGAAAAACCAGCACGAACTGAAGACCTTTAGAAAATCACTCTGATTCTTGTCCAAGCATGCTCAGTGAGAAGACCGGCGTTAGTGAATGCGTTCTTTATCAGAATGACTTCTCAGAAGACCTCTCGTTAAGAAAAAGGCCTTGTTAGTAGAGAGGGATTTAGGGCAGTGATTAGACTGTAGGTTTACCCCTTCTTTACCCCTTCATTGGAACTGGACAAAATAACATTCCAGTGGCATCTGATAGAGCAGTGCAAAGAACTCTGGGGTCCAAGCAGACTAAAGCTGATACTTGGGAAAGCAAATTGTCTTTCTGAATTGCATGTGTTCACATGTGGCAGTAACATCAACCCCAGAGCCATGTGTAAAAATCAAACAAAGCCCGCATGCTTCAGAATGTTGGATATTATCATTTTTCAAGGATTTGATTTTTCCTTAACTGTGTGTACTGTGTAGTTGTGTGCAAGTGAGTACAGTGCCCACTGATACCAGAAAAAGTTTGACACTCTGTAGCTGGAGTTAAAGGCATTGTAAGCACACATACCCAATGAGGGTGTTGGGAACTGAACTCCAGTCCTCTACAAAGCAGTGCATACTAATGCTTAACTGTTGAACCAGCTCTCTTGCCCTGCAGTTATTCATTTTAATTTACAATAAGTAAATTTGATGTTACATATTAGAATAGTTAATGCCACAAAGCTTTGCTTTCCTTAAAAACTTCCTTTATGCCGGAAACACATAATCTGCATGTCTTCTGGGTTGCTTAGAAGATGATTGGTGAATGCACAGCAAACCGCTGCATTATGAGCAGTGAGGGTGGGGCTTGCCATTCTTCATCTCATCACCCACAGCATTGGTTTGTCTCTTCACGATGGCCTTCTAGTCCAGGCACTGTATTCAACTGTAAATGCAGCAAAGTTGCTTCTAGAAAAACATGAGTTGTTTAGGTTGATAATCATTAAGTTATTATGAAATTATATGACATATACAAAAACAGTTTTCTAGTCAAATAGCTGTAAATTATTTTGGAATTCTAGGTTCTGTGAGGAAGCTAAACATCTGTAAGTCACAGCCACTGGCCTCAGGAAGCGTACAGCCTTGAAGAGCTGCTGCTTTCCCTGCCAGCTGTGCCCGATCAGAAAATGTATGATTAATTCTCATTCCAATAGGGCTTCTGTATAACCCTTAAAGCATTTTCCCTTTCTTACTTCATATCTCAGTCACAGCAAGTCTTTACAGAGTACAGTGTGATGTTTTGGTATCTTTATATGTTGTGTGTTAATAAATTTGCAGAATAATGGGTTAACTGTTTTCAGAATGGTGAGACTACCTTGTCTGAGATTACATACTGGAGAAGAGATTTCAGTTACTACCAAAATAAGGAGAGAAAGTACATCTAATTTATTTAATTTAATGGCAAATCCTAAGCAAGTATTTTGAGTATCTTACTTTCTCCAGCAATCTCTTATTTTCTGCCCTCAAATATGTCTCCTTATGACTGCTGGGCCCCAAACAGTTCTAGTTGTGGACTCTTCTAATGAGGGCAAGAGCTGTAGCCATTCCTCCTGCGCAAATAGTAAGAAGAACCCACAGCCATTTCTAAGATGTGAGTGTGTACTGTCATAGGCAGAAAAATGTGCCCGACACTAATCGACTGTAAAAATGTAGTACAGGATATCCCACAATCAAGACATACAACTCATCCTTTTACTTAACAAGTGATTATCTCTGATATTCCCTAATTAGTGCTAATACTTTATAAAATAGCTTTAGATGACTCATCACTGGTAGCTACAAGTAGGGGGAAACTGAATTAATATGACGTAACAAAAATATGAATCAAGAAGTCCAAGTATGGATAATTCAGAATCTATAAGGAGGAAGGATGAAAAAAGTCTCAGGCCTGCATCTTTTCTTTTATATAGCTCAGGTTTTGTTGTTGTTGTTGTTGGAGTGTTTGTTTTGAAACAGGCTCTTCTTCTAGTCCTGGTGGGCTATAACTTGCCATGTAGCCAAGGGCATCCTCCTGCCTCAGCCTCCTGAGTACTGGGATTACAAGCATGAACTACCATATCTAACCCACCTATCTCTTAAAAACGAAAGTATTCTTGTAAACCTCCCTAGCAACTTAGTTCTTACTGTCCAGAAGCTATCACATGATCACTCTTAGGAGCAAAGATGTTTGTAGCATGGTTTGGAATGTACATATGAATTCACAGGTGTTGAGATAGCACACAAAAGATCTATGTAAGTTCAGAAGACACGGAATCTCAGCAAGGAGAGGGGAGGTTGGAATGAGGGAGCTGTTGGCAAATGATAGCTGTGCAGAGAGGGACAATCAGTTTTCTTTAAAGGTGTGACCCCTGCTGGGTTGACCATACTCCAGTGGAAGGGCGCTCAGGTGAGAGTATAAGGGCATCACCAACTGTAGTTGACTGGTTTTCAGAACATGACACAAAGTAGGGTGTATAGGAAAGTGGTAGTCATTCTGAGAGGAAGGGGGAAGGAAGTGAGTATGATCAAAATGCATTATATGAAATTCTCAAAGAATTAGTAAAAATGAGAAAAATTAAAAGGAAAACACATTATCAAAGGGGAGAAAAAGAGGCCTGTCAAGAACATCAAGAATTTCAGTTTCCCAGTCTATGTAAAAAAGAATCAAGTAACCGTGAAAGACCTTGAGGATATTTTTAGCTAGTCTGCAGTGTTGGACATGGGAAGCCACTAGTTCTTCCAGGGTAGTTCTTGATGACACAAAGAGCCATCTGCTTCTATCGCCTATTGCCTATGAGCCTATATTCACTCTTTTTGGCTCTGGAGCAAACATAATTACAGTGTTTATCTGAGTCTTCTGTTCATTTTATGATCTCGTAAACATTCTTAACACAGTGCTTGGCACACAAGCAATTATAAGAATGAATAATTATCAATACTATGAATAAATTCAACTTGATTGAGCCTTTTTGAATTCTTGGTGTATTGCTTTTAACTTTCTAAAAATGTTTGTACTAGGAATGCCTATCTGGAACTCTGGATGTGTCCTCTGAGAAGTTGCCCATGAGACTAAGTGCCCTGGAGGGTAACACGGATCCTGAGTGAAGATTGTCAACTGAGTGTGGATGTGCTGATCTCCAGGCTCCTGGATGTGGAGCTGTTCATCTCTCCTCCAGAGCTGGATGGAGGCCCAGGCTGCCTTGCAGCACTGAGTGATGCCATGCCAATTCCAGGCAAGGTCTTTATTGCTGGAGCCACTGTATAATGACAGCTTTATTCATGTGAAAATGCAGAATGCATTTCGACTGTATGAAATTGTTTATGTTCACCAGAAATGTTATTTGTCTTCACAAAGTCTGGTTTCAATGAACCAGCTACGTAATGGATATTAAATAAACATGGAATTTTACATGTTTGTAATATTTGGTTTCTTGTTGTGATTTTGATGAACAGTACTTTCAAGCACTGTCAGTTCATCCTTATTTACAAAGAAACGTTTACATGTAGCATGGTGATGCAGTGACTAGCTTTATTTTAAATAAGTGAACTTTTCTGTTCAATGTTTAATGTGAAGCCGACTCAAAAATGTTCTTTTTAGGCCACATTTACATTTCTTTCTGAATAACACATATTATATTATTTTTGACTTAGTATCATGAGTCATATAAACCAAAGACATTCTAATTCTATTTTAATGTATTTTTGCAAGATTAATAATTTATAATACACTAATAAAACTAAGGATCTCATATTAAAAGACTTATAAGACCTGCTGAGAATGATCTATGGAAATTTACTCTCTTAAAAGTAATTTTTCAAATTTATTTTATTTAAAATGAAATTTCATCTATGAAGTCCTGATAGAAAATATAAAACAAAAAGTTGAAACGCCTCTATCTTTTTACACATTTAAGAAAAACAAATGTATACTTTCTAACCTGATGATTTTTATGTTCCATTAAAAAAAAATCAAATGGCCAGCAAACACTCTGCATGCACAGCTTGGCTTTGGTGGCCTCTTTAAGATAAATTCCTCTTCAATCTATATGTATTACTTTTGTATCTTTAAAGTGATATGGTTTTATTTATGGATTTATTTATGAAATATTTATGTTTGGCCATTCAGAGAAAGAAATGCCATTTGCTGCTTTTTTGGAAGATGAAAATTAACTATGAACCCATATTCCTTTCTTCTTTTGTCTTCTCTTAAGTCTGTAAGCATCCACTTATGTCTCAGGAGATAAGAGAAGTGAAGAACGAGAAAGTAAACATTCCAATCATGAAGCTTCCTTTAGCCCTTAAAGAACTTCTTTCAAATGACCACTAGGTCACACATGACCAACTGACATCATTGCAGAGGCATGTGTGTGCCATGCTGCTGTTGAGGGAGGCACCGGAAGATTCTGAGGAGGAGAAAGCTGACTGCCTATGTTTAAAGTGGGCTTTCCACACTGTGGTACAACTACCCCATTACTGGTACCTTGTCTTTGGTTTGGAAGCTGAGGTGATGGTGGACAGAGAGGAAAGCAAGGAGGCAACAGAGGAAGCTAAAAAGCAGAGAAGCTGGAGTAGAAAGAAGCTATAAGACAAAATATTGATTGTTGTGGCCACATTTCTAAGCACCCTAGCTTGCAACAGCCAATAGGAGTTCCTTGTAAATGCCTTTCTATGCTACCTTCCGCGTTAGGTTACTTTGTGGGTGACCAGCCTCCCCCATTCCTAGGATTCTTTCCTTTTGACTAGTTTCATTTTTCAAGCAGTGACCTTTCCCCGACCTCAGCCTCTCTCTGGGGTCACCTTGCTGGAGCCCTGGTATAAAACTGAATAGAAGTCTTGCCAGATTGTTGGCACTGGATAAGTGGTACTGAGCACAATTGCTCTTTTATGAGCGGGAGGGCAATTTCCTTTCCTGAGGCACAGAGCTCTGGGCTGCCTGATATCCCCCTTTCATTTTGTTGTCCAGATCTGCAAGCTGGTGGCCTTGCAGGAAGATGGTATACACCACGGATCCAAGAAGGGAAAAAGACCTTCGGCGGGCAGAAGCACAGCTTACGGCGCTGCTCAGAACATTCGTTTTATGGTGAAGTAGTTCAAGTATTTGCCTCCAGATAATTCAAAACTCCAGTGCTTAAGCTTCATTTACTTACTTCAAAATTTCACTGTTGTTATTATACTACATTATATCCTTTTGAAAATCATTGCCTGAACATTCCACTATACCTGCATTGCAGTCGGTCCCCAAAAAGCCCCTGGAGGTAACACTTTTTACTTCAACATGGAAGAAATGCAGCTATGAATCTACCAGATGATGGGCAGTTCTGATACCCCAGGCTGCACTGCTGTTGCTTACTGAGGAAGCAGTCCGTCCAGTGGATCCTAAAGTAATGTTCCAGGTCTATGGTATTGCAGTTCTTCCAGACTGTTATAACAAAATACCTTACACTGGGCAATGTATACATAACACCAATTTGTTTCTCATGGTTTGGAAGGCTAGGAAATCCAAGACCAAGAGAGTAGCAGATTCACGCGTGATGAGGGGCTCCTTTCCTGATACATAGGTAGTGTCACCGAGCTTGCCTTTACATGGCAGAAGGGTCCAACAAACTCTTCAGACTTCTTACAAGGTCATCAATCTCATCTCTTCATTCCTTGTGCTCCTGACTCACTTGCCTGTTAAAAACTCTACCTGTCTACCTCTCAATATTACACTTAAGAATTAGCTTTCAGCATTTGAAAGAGTCCACAAGATTCAGAGCACAGGTAGTGAATACCAGACTGTGTCATGTGGTATTAAAGTTAGAGTCTAGTGCCCTAACATCTCTTGAACAGATAGATAGTAAGATTGACAATGTCTACATTTTGTACATACTCCCACCCGAAAAATGTTAATGCTAAGGAAGAGTAAAAGAAAAACCTAAGTGGCTTGTGGGAGACAAAAAATAAAAAATTGAAAAAAATCCTTCATCTTGCTATCCAACTTTGTCAAGTCTTGGAAAAATAGTACTTCAAATCATTTTCGTCCCACGTTTGGGAATTTAATTAAGCCCAACGGGGAAAAGGTATGGAAGTTTTAAATACCATTTTGCTATGCAAAACATTCATGAATATTTTCAGGAACATTAGGTAATTCTATATCAAACACACTCCCAATTCCTATTGGTCTAGTTGTTGTGCCGCAGAACACAACCATCAGTCAGTGTTAGCTCCGCGCAGACACATTGTTCCCTGTGCACACGGAGGCAATCAAACGAGTCTGCAAATGTTCTTCAAAGAATACGTCTAGAATGTCACTTCGTTAAACATCTCCTTGGCATCCATTCTATTTTCCACTTTGAATTGCTGCATTTAGTTTTGTAATGACCTTCTATGGCAAAAAGGTTTTATTAACTCTTTGATCTTCTAGCTTTGGGATGAAAACAAAGAAAATATAAATGAGCACTTTGTGCAGTGTCTTGTAGAGACTAGGAGAAAAAAAGAAATATGTTTTCATCAAAAAGATTGGTTTGTGTGGAGACTTTCAGCCTTTCCCATTCTTCTCTCCCTTTGAGCAAAATACTTACCAGGATGGTCTATGCATTTGTTATAACATCCTGGGTTTGACAAAGTCTTTCTCTTTTCTCTGGGGCTGGTAGCTGAGGTTAGGGTCATAGAACTCTTTGAGGGTTTTCTTTTTAAGGCTGTTATCTGTCTCTGTTTTCCTCCAAATCTGAACACAATTCTTCAGAAATCTGTCACCAAATTTACAGGACACTGAAAGTGTGTTTCCAAGCACTCTTTCCTCGTGGGTATACATGTGAGTGGAGAAGAGTAGAGCATCCCTGAGATGATAGTTTCTGATAAAAAGAAAGTGGTCTTTGCATCAAAATCCTGGTTTTTCACTTCACTATTATGGTATCCACATATTATAGAATCTGTGGATTGGCCCTCATCATTTAGTTGTGTTGTTTCTGAACATACATAACTGGCATTATTAATAGATGAATGACCACTTTTCAAATCTCTCTATATTTTGCTGCTCCTTCTCTTCACTTCCTTTTACATACTCACTTGACTTTGTTTCTTTGGTCTTTATTACAACCTGGGGAAGCAACTTAGGATATTACAAGAGACCCAAGATGGACACAGTTACTAGACAGAACCTACTTTTTACTTTCTCATGCTCAGAATCAGTCACTTATCAAGGCTATTCTTTAGCATCTGAAATTTGAAACTTGTTGTTTGGTTGGAAGTAATCTGGCATAAGAACCTGAAATTAGTTGTGTGATCAGAATGTTGCCTGTTAGGTTATAGTGTGGTAGGCTTATCTGGAATGAGAAACCATAAGACAACATTTCTCTTTGGCTTTTTCAAACATCCTTAGTATTCTTTATCCCTCCTTCCTTCCTCTTCCTCAGTATTTCTTTCCCTCCTCAATACCATATGTATATCTTAGTGCCAGACATGGAAAACTGTCTTCTGAGTCACTGATCCAGGTATTCCAGTAGACTCCCAACACAATATAGGGTATGGCCATTGCCCTTAGTTGCCTTCCAGAACTTGAAGGTAAGACCCTATTGCTGAAGACAATGAACACTTCAGACACAGGACTTGAAGGAATTGAGCTGAAACCAACCTGGAAGCCTCCACTTTGAGGTCTTGTTCTCATAGTATCTGAAGGTGCTATGCTAGCTGCTAAAGGAGAATATCAACCTATGAAGCCTACAGACTGCAATAGCGATCATCAAGATATATCCAAGAGTGCAATAATGGCACTTTTATACTGGGGTAACCACCATCACTTAATTGGACCGAAGGCCTACATCATAGGAAGGAATACATGCCTGGTACTGTAAACCTAGTCAACTACTGGTGACCGGTAAAGTCATGGACCCTAGAGGAGAACCTACTGCTGCCACATTCCCAAACCAGAGTGATTCCCATTCTGAACACCTGCACTTCTACCCAAAGGTGTGTGGTCCTCACCTCTCACCTAAGAAGCTTCCTTTTGTTGTCGATAGGGACAATTACAGAAATTTCTAATTACCCAAAATGCAGAGGGAAAACTCACCATGGGGTATCCCTCTTCAGTTGATTGATCTACAATGCAACTCCTACTGCTCAAGCCGGGGAATATAGCAGAAGAGAGGACAGAAAGATTGTAGGAGCCAGAGAACCAGGATATCTTTTACAAGATGGTGTCCTCTATATATGACAGGGAGCTGCACCCACAAAATCATAAAAATATGGTCTCCTAAACAAGACTTGCACAAGAAAACCAGTTGACTTGTCAATGTGAGAGAAATCACACAAGGTCCATCCCCAGATGAAGAGCTACAGGCAATTAATTGCTGTTGAGAGGACGAGAATCAGTCCCCAGGTAGATTATCCAATCCCAAATGGTCATCCACAAACACATGTACCTTGAGCAAC